AGGAAGGAAGGAAGGAAGGAAGGAAGGAAGGAAGGAAGGAAGGAAGGGAGGAAGGGAGGAAGGGAGGAAGGGAGGAAGGGAGGAAGGGAGGAAGGGAGGAAGGGAGGAAGGGAGGAAGGGAGGAAGGGAGGAAGGGAGGAAGGGAGGAAGGGAGGAAGGGAGGAAGGGAGGAAGGGAGGAAGGGAGGAGGGAAGGGAGGAAGGGAGGGAAGTCATTAAACATTAGCAGATAGTAAACAAATAAGGGAAAGCTAGCTTTCAAAATTGTCATCTGAAATCTGGAAAGAAAACTCCCTAAATCTTGCACCTTGTAAGGAAGCTATGTTAACATAACTGTAGCTGAAGGCAGCTTAGGTGAGGGCATTAGTTCCATAAAGGCATGCCCAACCAACAACACCAATCCACCATTTCTGAACAACAGTAAAAGAAGAGCATCATACCAACCTGTCTTCCAACCAGGTCAGGTCAAGGGATGGTCACTGAAGGCAGAGATGCTGGAGTTGCAGCGACCTCAAGCACAATGCTGGTGATGGAGCACACAAATTTGATGCATTGCTTAATAACAGCACAGCACGATGGGGTAAAACTCTCATTACTTGTAGCAAGCAGCAGAGAGCAGCCTTTGGAGGGAGCCAGGCTCAAAGGGCAGCGATAAGGACATGAGAGTGGTCTGGTAGTCTGAAATGGGATAGAGAGATGCTGCTGAATGAAACTTATTCAAAATCTGAAAACAAAAAGGCATTGCACTTTAGGTAAGAACCAAACATAAAAGTCTTTTGTTATTTCAATGTTTTGGCTGAATAAACAACGCCTTGCTTTGAAGAAGCTGTGTCATTTTAGTCAGCTGTTAGTCACAGGCTCTCAGTGGAAGGCCTCCCAGTACCAAACGTAGTTGGGCCCTTTGGATTTATCCTAATTGAGGAAGCAAAGGGGCTACATCATGGGATTACTCCCACAAGAAAAATAATAAATAATAAAAAAAGCAAGCCAGCCACTTGGGGGTGCAGGCATGCTGGGCTGCCACAGCAGCTAAAGTGCAGCTTGGCTTGTAATTATAACAGCTGGGTTCTTGGATGTAAAACAGAGATAAGCCGTAAAATTAGCACCGTTGTGGAGAAATGATGCATTAATATCAGAAGCTTTGTAAAGGCTTCCTAAACATCCCCTATCTCTGCACTGATAGAAGAGCAGCTCTCCAGGAGAAAAATAAATATTTTTTTCCTAGACAGGAGTTCTTCAGGGAGATCTCTGGCATGGACACTACTAACATCACAGTCGCTTAAGTAGATGCAACCTCAGTGCACGAAGACGTGTGTGCAGCACGTGCACAGAAGATACAGAAAAGTTTTGGTGAATGCTACCAGCTATTGTTTGTTCAGAGATATGCTGGAAGAAAGTCTGTGTGAATATCTCTGCTACTGCGGGCTTCATTAGTGGAGGGAGGAATTTTTTCCAGCCTAACCTGCTGGGTAATTTTGCAGTGCGCCACGGAGCCTCACACCCCTGTGCCGGGTGAAGTGGGTGTCTGCATGCACCTGTGCCCTGCAAGCAAGCAGAAAATGTTCTGGAGTCCTGGGTGCGGAGTGCCCTTTATCGAAGTGTGTTATTTCTAGTAATTTCATTGCTTAACCACCACAAAAAAACCTCATCCTTGTAATTCTGTCCTGAAACTGCGGTGTGTAGGAACTGAAATACCTCCAGTGTCAGAGGAAATGCATTTAATTGCAGGCTCAGAAGTAAAAGCAGAGCTTTAGGGAAGAGCTGTCACCCTGCCACTTACCGGCACTTAGACGCAGACAAAGGGCTTGTAAGGAGACGTTGGAAGCTGTGCGATGTTAGCCATCAGGAGGGATGACTTAGCAGGTCATTCCGCGGTATCTCCCTGTCATATGCATCAGGTTGATACTGTCAAGTGCATTCTTCTCACTCCGCAACTACATTAACATTTAATTCAGTACTAACACGGGCTCTTTCACTAGAAGTGATGCAAAATACGAATATGAAATATATGAAGAGTCTATTGTCTCCCACTGGACTATCAGTGCTTACTTGACCCTTCTCGCTCTATCGTCAACCTGTACAGGTCAGGCAGGAAAAGCAGCACCCATGCTGCCAGCAGTGGTACCACGTAAGACCTTTGCCCCCTTCATCCTCTACATGTCGGTGAATTCACCGCCTTCTGCTTTCCTGCAGGGATTGCTGTGTGGGGCAGGCTGACACCCAGTCTGCGGCAGGGGGAGGAAGGAAGGACACTGATTTAGGATGAAACTCCCATTCACTACTGGAAGGCAGGACTTTCACCTTTCCCTCTGTACCTCCGGTAGCGGGACTTCCGCGGGAAGAGGGCCATCAAGACAATACCAAGCAGTGCAGCAGCAAAACACAAATCCCCGACCCCAACCACATCTAACTTTGCCCGTTCCCAGACTGGGTCCTGGGACACCTCGCTCCCCGCCGCGGCGGGGGCGGAGCAGGTGTCGGGGCGCGGCCGGGCAGCACCGCCTGCCGCCGGCACCGCCCCTCGGGAGCCGCTCGGAGCGGGTTTAGCCGCGGGACGGAGGCGGGTGCGCCGGCCAGGCTGGAGGCGCGGCGGCGGCACCTGGCGGGCGCGGCGGGGCAGCCTGCTCATTGCTGGTAGGGCGGCGGCAGCGGGAGCAGCGCTCGGCCCGGGGCCGCGCCGGGAGGGACCAGCCTCGCCTCTTGCATCTCGGGGAGGAGGAGGAGGAGGCGGAGGAAGAGAAGAAGGAGGAGGAGGCTCTGCTGCTGCTTTTCCGTCGGTAGTAGCGGCGCGGCTGCGGGAGAAGAGGAGGATGAGCCGTGCGGTGCTGGCCTGGCTGGTGCTCTGCGGGAGCCTGACGGCGCCGCGCCTTGCCCGAGGTGAGCGACGGGGACGGGTCGGGTCGCGGCTCTCTCGAAGTCGGAGCCCAAGTGCGTGATGTCCGGGGGCAGGTCGTGGGGCGCCTCCGCTGCGGCTTTTCTCTTACTGCCGTTTACAGATAAAATACTTCCCTGCGTTCTAAATAGCCGACAAGCGAGCCCTCCTCCGGCACGTTCTGTTTAGAAACTATGCTTAATTATTGTGTGGGGGAAGAGCTACCATGAGAGATTAATCCAGACGAGCTGCTGAGAAGATTTGATAATACCCGCAGAGCTGTGCACGTCTCTTTTTCTTGCCTCTCTGCCCCCAGCCATCGGGCTGGGAGCCGCGTACCCAGCGCAGCGCGGAGCAGTTCGCGGGCACGTCCGGGGGTACGGCATCGCGGCAGCGCTGAGCAGCGCTCGGCAGGCGACCCGCCTCTCCTTAACTAGGGCATCTCCAGACGGAGCACCAGAGGCGCCTTCTCCGCCTCTTGTGCCTCCCCCGCTGGAGGAGAGGAAAAAAAAAAAAAAAAAAAAAAAAGTCCCAAAAGCCAACTTTAGAGGTTTCCTGGTTTTCTTTATTATTATTATTGGAAATAACCACTGGTGGTTACGTGGGTTTTCCGTTTTCGTATTTAAAAAGAAAAAAAAAAAAAAGTTGCCGGAGCTCAGCTAGCAGCGGCGTGGGGCAGGGTGGGAGGAGAACGGTAGCCGCTGCCGCCACCGGCCCCCCTTTTCCCACCACAAGAAGCTCTCTGTGCCCCCACCAGTGCCCGAGCAGTGATGAGGGAACCCTCCGGAGGCAGGGACTGATGCTCTTTGTGGGGCTGCTTCTGTCCCTCCGAGCGCTGAGCGCTGGGAAGGCAAACAAACCTCGGGGGGCTGAAGACCTTTGTCTCACCCCGGTTGCGCCTTCCCTAAGCTTAATAGAACAAGTGTTATCCTGATGAGTAATATATTGTTTTCACTGACTTGGACCTGTTCTCACCACTGTTTGCTTTTTTTTTTTTTTTTTTTTTAATTTTAAAATGAAGCCAATGTATCAGTAAAATTGAATATTTTATTAGATCCTAAATTATTCAGCATTGTAGCTTCTCAAAATCCAATAACATTCACTCAGTTGCAGCGAGCATGCGATGGCTTATGCAATATGTCCTTGTACCTGCGGTTTATGCCTAAAGTCTTTTAAACACAAAGTCTAGGCATGCCATAAATACTTTGCATTGGACTTCTGTACGACTGAGGTGTCTTCTTATTTAAGTCTATGATCTAGCAGTGTTTTTAGGTAACTTCAGAACAGAGAGAACTTGATAGATTTTCTAGAGACAAGAAATAGAAGGTAAGAATCCATTTGTTCTGCAATTGCTTAAGCTGTAATTGTTCAGCTAAAGGGTTGTCCTTGGCTTTCGAAATGGAACAGAAGGATTTTTTTTTTTTTTTTTTTTAAAGCTGCAGCAGAATAAAATACTGCTTGACAAGTCTGACATAGTGGGTTAATTTTGCTCACTATTAAAACTGTTAATAGGTCTTCTCAATTCATGATAAGTAAAGTAACAAACTCTTTGGAGAGTGATTTTTGAACAGCACAAAACTTTTTGTGCATCCTTTGAGTATGAGTTTATTTAGATAGTGAAGTAAAATGAGTATATCATGAACACCTGTGGTAAAATCATGTATGCTTTGGCCAGTTGTTCATTGCTTTCTTTGAGGGATAAATTCTACCTGCAGATCAAAGTTTGGTCGCATAGTTCATTGCTGACCAGTGTTTGAAGTCTACAGTCAGATGAAAAATACAAACTGTCTGTTCAGTAGAGCACTGAAAAGTAACGGTGATGATCAACTTCCTGTTGATAAATATCATCTCAAATACTTTCCTTACTTCTGGTGTTTGGAACATATACGCGGTGTTTCAGCATATCATTTTGATATTTATCCTCCATTTATGGAGGAGGCAGAACTGGGAGAGGGGCAGGTGATGAGTCTTTCAGTGAAGATGGGAATCTTTGTGACTGGTCTGATAAATTAGGAATCTCTTGCACTGTAACAGGAATCTGTCCTTCAGAAATGTGTTCATATGCATGTGTACAATGAAACAAGATTTCAAGGGTGTTGTGACTTCTATTGCGCAGCTTGCAAGGAAGGTGTTAGTGCATTTTTAACAAGTGGTGTCCTTTTATATTCATTTCCAAACAGCTGTGAAGGTTTACATTTGCTTTGGTTGCTGTCAAATCGCAGTCAAGAGCAAATCCAGTGTTTCACTATGCAGTGGACAGGCAGTCACTACAGAAGTGACTGCATAGTCTACAAGGGATGATTTCAGATGGAGGAGATTCTCATCTCATCTGATGATGAGATGGAGGAGTGCATCTCATCTACAGAAGTTCCTTAGTCCGGAATCTTTTTGGAACGGATTTTTTTAGCATGGATCTTTTTGGAACAAATAAGCACAGGGCTAGCTATCGGTTTCAGAAGAGCGAGTGAGGATTGGGATCAAATGGAAGGAAAATGTAATTTAGAACTGATGGCTATCTTAGTTCCCAGATTTACCTCATGGAATGGGGTAAGCCGATCAGCTACCATGATGATGATGCTGTGAGCAAATCAGTGTATTCCAAGCTTGTACATTAAATGCTTTTGCAAAGGGGTCTTCTGAAGGTTTTGCCATTTGAGTTGTCTTTATCACAGAGCTGATCCTTAAATTGTAATTGTGTGTTTTGACTTCACTTGATGTGGAATTTTTATGTATCGTGTGCCTAGAAATGATGCTGGTGTTGCCAAAACCAAGCAGATCCCATTCTGCTTTAATTTGCAGCTGTGTTCTGTGAGCCTGAGATGAAATATTTCTGAACTTTAAAGGAACTGTTTCAGAGATGTTGCTTTTTCTCTGTTACAATGGGAACCTTCACTCCCTCTGAGGCTTAAAAGTGTATGTATAGCCTCTTCTGCGGCTGGAATGAGCTGCAATGAGTAAAGCTGCAGAGAAACATGAGAGGTAAACTGTAGGTTTGTTCCCATGTAGCTATACCAAAGGACTGAAAAAGATCACAAACGCTATTAAAGGTCAGCATTCTTCTGTTTCACTGAACACCTCTGCCTCTTTGGACAGCATCTGCTTCTGTACTAACTGCTGACAGTGTGACCCTGCATAATGATTTCCACTGTTCTTTTAACAAATTACATTTGTATTCAAATTGATTTTCCATGACTGCTCATATAGCCTCCAGAAAGCATATATAGCAGATACGCTTTTGCATCCAGTGTGTCTGGTCAGCCTAGGACAGCATTTGATGTCGAGCCATTCTATCTTATAACTAGAATTAATAGTCCTGCTGGTATTATTGTTTTTTGTGTATGTGTTTTGTTGTTTTTTAAGTATCCAACTTTGCCTTTCTCTGCCCTGCTTATATCCTTTATGTTGTTTTTCAGAGGTTGTATTTTATACAGAGCTGTGTTTCAATGATAGCATAGTGAAAAGGATCACTGTATTATCTTGCCTCCCTCCCCCATTTTTCCAATTACCGTCCAGTTGAAAATCAAGGTAATGATCCACTTTGGAAGTTATTTCAGAAGACAAAAGCTTTGCATTAGGAGGCTGTTCTTTATGCCTTGAGCTAGCTATTTGTACAGCACTTATCCGTACAGCAGGGCTGGCATACTTGTAGCCAGATATCCCATCAGTGTAAGTAAAGGCAACGGAACCTGACCCTGGAAGAGTGATGTTCAGGGGACTGCAAGAGTCGGAGTAAGTCTGTATCAATCTAAAATGTTGTGAATCTCATTGCAGTCACTGTGTTACTGCTTTCTCTATTTTTTAGAAATGTATGTATTTACTTCGAACTTACATGAGCTCCAGAGCCAGGAGTGTATCTGAAATCCTAGAGCATCATCCACATCACACTACAAATGATGTTTGGGTGCCCTGAGGCCGTGCTGCCTCAAGTTAGAAAGAGTATGGACTGAACATCAAAACAACATTAATTTCTCTCAACTTTTTAAGAAGTGTTTTCACAGTGAGAATGTATGTTTACTTTTTATTATTCAGATGACACATTAGGAAATGAAGGATGTGATAAGGAGATGCAAAACTAAATCAGGATTCTAAGTACCTTAAGATTTACAAACTTAAAAACCCTGGAAATTGCTGTGATATAATGGAGGAGCTGCACACATTTTTCATATAAAGAGTGTGAAGCAAGGATGTAAGAAGAAAGCCAATGAGAGTGTAAGTTCAATGCACTGTGTCAGTGATAATGGCTCTATGCTTCCTTTTTGTTTTACTAATCAGCAAGCTGTGTAACTTCCCATCACAGTGGGAGTGTTCTATTTTAAGTTTAAAAAACCGAGAAGTGAAATAGACCATGAGTTTCTGGTCTGAGCAGCAGGCATAGGGAGATTGCTCTCTTTGCTCGTACCCAGGGCAAGAGCATTGCAGTCCAGGTGGGAAGGCAAAGGAGTGAGCAAAAGATGTGGTCAGTGTGGGTCAGCTTTGGAGTGCTTCAGATTGCAGATTTGAATCTGAGCTCCAGTTTTGCTTTTGCACAGCTGGACTTTCTCAGCCTTCTTTTCTTCTTCCTTTCCTGCTTCCATTGTAACTCTTTCTTTTTTCATAATTGTTTTCAGTATTAAACAACGCAAGGTTTGCATAGCCAGACCATAGCCATGCTGTCAGGAAAAAAACTACAGTTTAGACCTATGTGACTTCTTTGTCTTTGAGTATCTTTGATTATCCTCTGAGCAGTAACTTTGACAGAGCTGAAAGAAGTAGAAGACGATTGCTTTGCCAATTTTTAGCTGCAGTAATTTTATTTGCCATGCTTCTGTGTAGGGAGGCTGACAGAATTTTTATAAAAACTACTTTTTTCCTATCGTTGTCAAGATGCTGTGTCAACCTGTGTAATTATGGAGAACTGTGACAGCAGTGCGTAAATAACAGTAATTTCTGCCCTGTGATTACTCATGTCTGTTGTAGCTTCGCTATTGTGGAAACCTACAGACAATTTAGGAAATACTTTTGGGTA